CCCCCCCAACATAACACAGCACGAAAAAAAAAGAGAAACCGCAAAACAAGGGAAACTTTCTGAAAACAGTACACGCGCGGCGCTTTGATTCTGCGCTCTTCCTCAGCGAGCGCCGCACCTCCTGTGGAAGAGATACTAATTGGAGCGCGCGGATGGAAAGGAATATGGCATGTATCTTTAATGAGGGCCTCGGTCTGCCTCCCCCCCCCCTCCCCTCCCCTCCGCCTTCTCTCTCGCTGGCTGCTGTTCTCCTGGAGGGAGCACTGCGCTGCAGCACTACTGCAGGCCTCAGCAAAACCAGATTCTATTTTCTGCCGTTTCCTGTTCCTCCTTGCCACGTTGCCATGGCGACCGCGCGGGCCCATGGAGGTCTGTTTCCTGTCTTAGCCACAGAACCCCGGCCAGATTCATCTCGCCGCCTCTCTCGTTATTTCTCTCCCTTTTCTTTTCTTTTTTTAACTTTTCCCCTTCTTTTTTTTTCCTCCTTTTTCTTCGCTGCCTCTTTCCGCGATTTAATTTCTGTTTTTCCCAGAGAAAGAAAGAAAACGGCGCTTCTTAACGATTCCCTCCAAAGCCGATCCCCCCTGGCGCTGAGCAGCTTTGTCTTTTTAAAGCGCTAGAGGAGCCGCAGTCGTTCAGCTGTTTGGAGAAACTTTGCCCTTTTTTTTTTTTTTGTTTTGGGCCGACGAAGCCCGTGCTTTCAAAGGGTCAAATTCCAGATGTGCTGTGGAACACCTGCAGCACGGTACCCCAGAAACAGCCCGTCAAATAAACGTGGCTGAGTACTGCTGGGATCCCCAGCTAAATTACGGCTGTAGGAGACCCTTCCCAAAAACAGCTCTGGGACTGGAGAGGTCCTCCAGCTTTTTCGGCGATTTGCTCCACCCCTGGTTCATGGAAGAGACCATCCGGTCATTCTTCAAGGTCACCTCTTCCTTCTGATTGGCCTCGCCTGTCCGTCACTGTCCAGATCAAGCAAGTGGCCCGTTCTGTGAAGAGAGCTCTGGTCCCGGAGGGCTGAAAGGGGCTTAAGATTTTAGTCCTCAGTCCTCGTAACCCGAGTTCATTTAGCGAATCAAGACTTTAGAAACTGGCGATTACATGGTCACCTAAAAAAACCTGGCGGATTTGGGGCTCTCCAGGACCTGGTGACTCCCTGGAGATCCCCGACTCCTGAAGGTGCTTACCGTTAAAATCAAGGAGACTATGGCCCTCGGGGTAGTTCCTGTGACCTCCCGGGAATCATGACTTCGATCTCCCCGATTTGAAGTTCCTCAAACCAAGAAGGGCGCGCAAGCTCCCTAAAAAAATAAAACCAAAAACAGTCCAGCAAAATCGTGGGCAGAAACACAAGAGGAACGCAGGAGCTGGAGCAAGGAGTGTGAGTGAATCAGGCCACCGAGCGTCTCCTGTTAAGCCACAGATCCAGCACAACCCGGACAACACATTTATTGTGCTGGTTGCTGTTATTTCTTGTGCCTGTAATGCACTGTCTGCATCGTGTGGTGCTGTCAGGCGCGCTGTGTCGCCTGTACATCCCGAGAGATCGGCGAGAGAATAAGGATTCCAGTGGACACGTACATATGGCGATGAACATCACTCCTCCGCTCCACTCCTCCACTGCCCTCGGTGGAAAGACCACAGGCACTGATTTTAGGATCAACGCTAAACCCCGGTGTCTGTGGCTCGTCCCCGACCTGACCCGGTTCTGACTGGCCGGCGCTGCTCCACTGCTTGGGGTTTTGGGGTTGGAACGTCAATAAAGGCGCCGGGATGAAGGGGCCAGGCCAGGCCGAGGCTGACGTTTCGGGACGGGAGTGAGACGCATTCCCTCCGGCACCGGCTCCGGCTCCGGCTCCGAGCCGGCCCGGCCAGGACCCGATCGGAAGAAGGAGGGGCGAAGGAGAGGAAGGGAACGGGAGAGGGGGATACA